CCCCAACGTCACCTACTCCTCTGAACCCGCCCCATTTTAACTCCCCTTTATGTATTATCTGACCTACACCCCCCCTCCCCCCCCAAAGGCTGTCTTGCCCTCTCGCAGGTTGTAATTTTCCTTTTGTGTATTTCAAGCTGTTGTTAAAGGTAGCGCAACAGTGTTTGTTGCATGACCGGTTTCACCTGTTCCCCCATGTTTGTCTTGTATGTCTTCTTGAATGGGTGTTTCTTAACTGCCCCCTCCCCCATTCCCTGAATGTACAGCACCTTGTGAATTTATTACTGTGAAAAATAAAACTTTACTTTACTTACTATTTGTGCCTGTAAAGACTGAAGCCTAAAAATCATCCATAAAGTTGGGGGATCATATTATATACAGGAATAAATTTTAACTGAATGATGGATAAAGTACTACAACAGAACATTTCAATATTTTTTTGTATACAACCGAAATATTGCTTCTAAATTATTCTACATCCACCCTCCCACTGTAGGATATGCCACACGCAGGTAAGCATATAAACAACAATAGTTGTTTTTTTTCACACAGAAGTCAAGAGGGAACAACTCTTTTTTTCTTGTTAACCGCTGCGATAGAAAGAAGTCAAAGATGTCAGTTACATGTTCAGATGCTCAATAGTACCAGGAAAGTTGCTCCTTGAAGCTGTCCATCTAGCTAATTTCACAACCAGCTTYTGGGACTGGATAGGTTTCAAGGACATGCAGAAGCACGTGCTGCTTCTCAGCAGTCACCCCAAATGTGTCCCCCCGAAAACATATGTTCCCACCAGTGGGTATGCCACAAAAGGTGAAAAATCCTGAAGTCTGTATGAAATTAAGGGTAGGATTTAAGCATTACACTCAAACTGCATTATTCATACATGAATGCAGTAATCTAAAAAAATCTTTAACACCAGCGACTGCTTTCCATCTGTTGTTAGACTATATCTCTGTCAGATCTTTGTGAAAACATTCTGCTGCTGTAAGAAACCAGACAGTTCAGCATGGATTTAATTGAACATCACATAGTGGGAACCAGGCTTACAGGTGCTGGTCATAAAATTAGAATATCATGAAAAAGTAGATTTATTTCAGTAATTCCATTTAAAAAGTGAAACTTGTATATTATATTCATACATTACATACAAACTCATATATTTCAAATGTTTATTTCGTTTAATTTTGATGATTACAAATGACAACAAATGAAAATCTCAAATTCAGCATATCAGAAAATTAGAATATTACTGAAGACCAATAAAAACAAAGGATTTATAGAAATGTTGGCCAWCTGAAAAGTATGAACATGAAAAGTATGAGCATGTACAGCACTCAGTATTTAGTTGGGGCTCCTTTGGCCTGTATTACTGCAGCAATGCGGCGTGGCATGGAGTCGATCAGTCTGTGGCACTGCTCAGGTGTTATGATAGCCCAGGTTGCTCTAATAGTGGCTTTTAGCTCTTCTGAATTGTTGGGTCTGGTGTATTGCATCTTCTTCTTCACAATACCCCATAGATTTTCTATGGGGTTAAGGTCAGGAGAGTTTGCTGGCCAWTTAAGAACAGGGATACCATGGTCCTTCAACCAGGTACTGGTAGCTTTGGCACTGTGYGCAGGTGCCAAGTCCTGTTGGAAAATGAAATCTGCATCTCCAAAAAGTTGGTCAGCAGCAGGAAGCATGAAGTGCTCTAAAACTTCCTGGTATGTGGCTGCGTTGACCCTGGACCTCAGAAAACACAATGGACCAACACCAGCAGATGACATGGCACCCCAAACCATCACTGACTGTGGAAACTTTACACTGGACTTCAAGCAACGTGGATGAAGTGCCTCTCTTCTTTTCCTCCWGACTCTGGGACCTTGATTTCCAAAGGAAATGCAAAATTTACTTTCATCAGAGAACATGACTTTGGACCACTCACCAGCAGTCCAGTCCTGTTTCTCTGTAGCCCAGGCAAGACGCTTCTGACGCTGTCTGTGGTTCAAGAGTGGCTTGACACAAGGAATGCGACAGCAGAAACCCATGTCTTTCATACGTCTGTGTGTGGTGGTTCTTGAAGCACTCACTCCAGCTGCAGTCCACTCTTTGTGAATCTCCCCCACATTTTTGAATGGGTTTTGTTTCACAATCCTCTCCAGGGTGCGGTTATCTCTCTTGCTTGTACATTTTTTTCGACCACATCTTTTCCTTCCCTTCGCCTCTCTATTAATGTGCTTGGACACAGAGCTCTGTGAACAGCCAGCCTCTTTAGCGATGACCTTTTGTGTCTTGCCCTCCTTGTGCAAGGTGTCGATGGTCGTCTTTTGGACAACTGTCAAGTCAGCAGTCTTCCCCATGATTGTGTAGCCTATAGAACTAGACTGAAAGACCATTTAAAGGCCTTTGCAGGTGGTTTGAGTTAATTAGCTGATTAGAGTGTGGTACCAGGTGCCATCCATTTTGAACCTTTTCACAAGATTCTAATTTTCTGATATGMTGAATTTGAGATTTTCATTTGTTGTCATTTGTAATCATCAAAATTAAACGAAATAAACATTTGAAATATATGAGTTTGTATGTAATGTATGAATATAATATACAAGTTTCACTTTTTAAATGGAATTACTGAAATAAATCTACTTTTTCATGATATTCTAATTTTATGACCAGCACCTGTATATTAAGATTTTATAAAATCAAGCTCACATGCTGTAATGTGTACAAGCAATTTATGGTTTTAAACCCACACAGTGTGGAGAAAATAAAGGAAATATAAACAGTAACATTTTTAGCAGGGTCCAGAGATCCTGCTCAGAGGGCCTGACTCGTCCAGGCTGAATGCTCAAAACTCAGTCTTTAGTAAGCTGTGCCTTGAGTTTTCTCACAATAATACAAAATATGTGCTACAATGCTGAGCTAAATGCATGTAGCACACAGCAAACTGCTGTTCATCATGGAGGAATAAACATCACAGTACAGGTTTAAAGGGAGAAATTACAAGAATAGTGTCTGGTCTGAGAGACAAACTTATCTTACACAATTTTATAGAACAGGATCAATTTTAGTTCTACATAAAGTCAAAACTTTTCTTTACTCATCAAAAATGTAACAAATTATGTGATTTTTTTTGTGAATTTCAAAATTTGCTGTGTAATCTCTTTTCTAAAGAGCTCAGTTCACAAAGGTCAGATGAATGCCATCTCCTGTAAACAGTTGTGGTCATAAAAATAAAAAAATCAGATTAGCTTAAATGTAATGAGATACTTTTTCTTTTGTTGCTGTGAACTAACCGGGAAAGAAGTAAAAACAATGTTTCCACGCAGTCTATTTAAACAAATAAGATTAAAAGTTATAAAGAAACAAATAACAACAAATATTTTTTACCTGAGATGACAGCCAGTTTCCCAGAACCATGTTCTTCTCTGGCAATCCTCTCAGCCTCCTCCATCAGCATCATCCCAAAGCCCTGAACAAACAGAGCAGATTCATGTATCGCTCCAACGGCAGCTGTGAGCTCTGACCTGAGGGGACATGAAACCCACCTGATGTTGAAACTTGCTGGGGTCTCGGCTGCTCACGGGGACCACACTGCCGTACACGTGCAGCTCGCGGACGACTGACACGCCTCCTTTCAGCTCCGGTCTAAAGGACTGAGGAGAGCAGCGCCGCAGTCTCAGCAGGCCAATGAGGATGTCCTGCTCCGGGTCCTCGTAGGACAGGAAGGTCTCCCAGCCACCGTTGGCCACATAGTCCCTCCTCACCAGCTCCACCTGCCGACACATAGCAGTCAGTTATTAGTATAATAAAAAAAATACAACACCTCGATTTACTTTCATAATCAGTGATTTAACAAACATCTGTGCACAGGTTACCTGGTAAGGCCTGACTTTGTGGTGGATCTCCTGAATGCCCACTTCTCTGGTCCTCACATCTCGACACTGAACAGTCAGACAGGTAGATAAAACCAGATTACAGGCTTGTAACGACTCACTGAGTGACTCTGTAAACTTAACTTCAGAAAAAATAAAAAATTAATCCTTGACCAAATTCTTGACTTGACAGTTTTGAATTATTACTCAGTGATGATCATGTTTGGCAGGAATAATAAACAAGAACATCGTGTACAGCGATATTGGAGGAAGACAGGTTTCACCTTACTATGCTGTAAGCTTGGTTATGCTACATTGCTGTGGTGTAACTATCTGGTGTGTGATGTTTCTGCAGCGAATATGACATTCAACAGCATCCTGTCTCAGTTCTTACATAATTCTGTGATGATGTCTGTCTGTCAGGCTTATGTCAGCCTCCCAACATCTCACCTACTGTCTTCTTGCTTGTGCTCTCTGTACTCTGGCATAGCTCAGTCTGGCTCTTTGTCATCTGTTCTCCTTGTTTTCAGGTAAAGTCCAAATCAAACTTAGCACAACTTGCACATCAGTTTCTTCCAGCTCCATGATTGTGGGAAGTAGAAAATATTGGTCTTATATTGATACACATCATGTGACCAAACTGGTTCTCTAAAAACATAATGCAGACATTGGTACCCTTACAAAAATACATGTACTCTTAGACCCAGTCCCAATACTTGTACTTCCACCCTTGTGACCTTCACATGCATGTTCCGGCTGAAGGATTTGAGTGCATAGTGTGCCCTAATTCTCTAGAGTGGGCTTTCACTCCACCTTCTTTGTGCYTTTGATCCACACTTTGGCTAAGCCCGAATCCAGGTGGACTTTGGTGAAGTATATTACCCATAATTCATTGCTGTATGTGACATTTTGAATTAAAAGGCAGAAATATGGCAATGTCCACCTAACACCTTCCAGTTTGGTGGTGGCGGAAGTGCACCCAGCAAGCGAGGGTCTGGTGTATAAGCCTCCTTCTGTTCATGCACTTGCTTCTCATAAAAACGATTGCTTGTTGTAGTTGTACTATCATTTTTAGCGGTACAAATGCCAAAACAGCAACYAGTTCTGCAATTTTAGATGTCACATTTAAGATGCAGAGGCGCAAGTTGATAACTTAACCCGTACTGTTCCAATGCTCCAATATTTGCATACTTGAACCCTTATGTGCACTTCATTTGAGTACATACTTCATAGAGGGGCCTAGTGGAAGTATTGGGACTGGGCATTGACTAATTGACATGATACCATCTATCAACCAAGCCAGTAGACTTGTCAGCACCAATCCACAACTGATATTGAACAGCAAGTAATATGCCCYCTAGCTGCAGGAAATGTCTGGCCTTCTCCTCAGCACTTTCAGCAGACTATGTAAAACATCTTCTAAAAGAAATAGTTAAACATCGGTCACAACAGTGGTAGACAGGAAATACCACATATGAAGATGAGCACAAGTAGATCTACCATGTACCATGATTTTACATATGTTAAATTAATGTTAACTCAATTAAATGAAAGGTTAATACTTTAATACTGCAGCTGGTTTTGTGTGTATAACTACAGTATGTTGCAACTTTGGGTCACATATGTTTAGTCTTTGATTAATATGACTGGTTAACAATGAACTGATTTTACACAACACATTTAATTGATTGTGAAATACAGTATATATTCTTATTCCAAACTAAATTTCACTGTAAGTTTTAATCATGGCTTTGCTCAATGACTTCATGGAAGGGCAGCACAGTGGCTCAGTTGGTAGAGCTGATGCCTCTCAGCTAGAAGGTCGCCGGATCAAATCCCGGCCCAGGGACCTTTCTGGGTAAAGTTTGCATGTTCTCTCCGTGCATGCGTGGGTTCTCTCCGGGTAGACTGTTAGGTTAATTGATAACTCTAAATTGTCCCTAGGTGTTGAGTGAGAGAGTGAATGGTTGTCTGTCTTGTTTGTCTCTATGTGTGTCCCTGTGACACACATAGAGAGTCCATCCTGTGATGGACTTGTGACCTGTCCAGGGTGTACCCCGCCCCTCACACTGTAACTGCTGGATATGGGCACCAGTGACCCACGCAACCCTGAAAATAAGAAGAAGGGTATAATGGATGGATGGATGGACTTCATGGAAACATGTACTGCAGTGAAGTATTTATTGTAAGTTATATGAGAGCACCTTTTTATTGTATAGTTTTATTCTTCCTGTGAATGAGGAAGAGCTGGGCTTTAACTTCCGTTTCTCCATGATTTCCTTCAAATAACTTGATGTACTCATTAGTGAACTTCTTTGACTCAAAGTTGGCTGATACGGAAAAAAACACCTCACCAAATATCTCTGGTAATACAGTCAACTTCACAACATCCACTATTATGGCTGTCTATTTGGTCTGAGGTTTCTTTACTCTAGGTCACTTGGCAGCACAGGCGGAATGATTTCATGTAGGCATCATGTAATTTGTTAATGTCATTTTGACATGGTACCTATGCCAAGAACACAAAGGAATACAAACAGATAAAGACAAGCAACAATCACATCTCTAAAAAGCACTACAAGTACATATGTTGCAGCGCAGACAGAGAGTTTGTATAGTGTAAATGAGAGTTATGCAAGAACATTGTTGGGTCACTACATGACCTTTGTTATGATGGTGAATATGAGTTACATTTGATGCTTTAAAGCTGCTATTTTCAGGTTACTGACTTTATCTACATGACTAAAAAATCTGTGACACCCTGGTGTTGCTGGAGATCATGCTGTGTACCATAAAATATCAGAAATGTAAAGAGAGTATGATGTGATATCATTTGGCACATATCTTAATTTGTCATTGAGACAAAGAAAAATACAAAACTGAATCAGGGTGTTACACAGAACAGCCTTTCAGGCATTACCAAGAGTTTTATGGATGTACAGGAAATTAAAAAACATGAAAAAGCACAATATTGGCTGTCTAAACAATCCACAAATGTGTTGTCTAATAAAACTACATCCCACGTGGATCAATTTACTCCACAATAAATCAGCAAGCAGAGGCAGAGTCCTGAGTTTAAACAGGAGTATGGGCTGTAAAAGTGGTGCCACAGCAGAATAAACAGTGTGGTGTGTATGCGTCTTGATATATCAACAAATAGCAAGCTTTCAAAGTGAAGAATCTTTCTAAATAGGCATACCTCCTACATCTAACACTGTAGAAAAATAAAAATTGAGTGTGACAACCATTACCATTTATTCTGCCATTAATGATTTAAGGCTTCTACTGAGATTGTCTGCCTGTCTTATTAAGAGTGCTGTCAGATAGTAAAAGTGTAGCCATTTTCTCAGCTTAGATTATTACCAATGCAAGTCCAAAATTACTGTTAGGATTTGTGAAAGAAAGCTGATGTACAGTATGTTAGTATTTTAGGCAGTAGCTACTTTTATTTATTTTTTTTACCAACATTATAGCTAGAACTGTTGTCATTAATCACATTGCTCATTTTTGTTTGTTTTTATAGTTAATTAATTCACACAGGATTTTGGTTGTACTTAGGCATGGGCCAGATACCGGTTTCAAGGTACAGTATACCGTGATATGAAAAAGTCACAGTTTGAAAAATGAAAACCACTAAAATTTTCTGTCATACCATTCCTACGGTATAAGCGTTTTTTGTTCTTCCTCCGGTCTGTGCAGCTGCAGACTTTCCCCCCAGCGACCCCTCCGCAGTGCACCCCGGCAGAGCTGCCGACAGGCAGCACTGCTCAGCGCTGCAGGGGTGCAGGTTGTGTTACGGCTGAAGGAATAGAGTCCCCCAAACTTTTTCCCCTTCTAAAATAATAAATCCTACGGTGCCCGCGAGGGGACTTGGGAGAAAAAAATGAAATAAAAACGGATCCTGACTTATGGTACTTTCTCAGGATCCCGAGAAAGAAAGTTGGGATCCTGAGAAATAAAGTCGGGATCCTGAGAAAGTTTACTCAAATGGATGTTGTTAGTTGTTTTCAGTCCCATGCAGACTGTCCCTCCTCTCTACCTCCTAGTAAGGTACTTATCATTTGTATGGCTGATAATATGCATTAAGGCACAGTGCGTTTATCTCCTCCCCTGGGACTCGGAGCCCCAGCGGTCGGCCCTGCTCGCTGTCCTTTGCCCGTGGAAAACACTCGATCTGCGGCATGCTGATTCAGGCTGTAGCCGGGGCTCGCCCCAGACATTGCTAACAGTTGCTAACAGAGTTTTCTGGGTCTGCTCAGACATGTTTCAAACTTTAATCTGCTGATCTCTGAGGTGTGTTAAACAATTAGCCTACTGAAACTCATGTTTTTAGTTTGATTTATGTGACGATGAGAGAGGGGAATATATTTAATCGTAAAAAACCAACTAYTAAACCATCAGTGCGATTTAGCTCATATTTCTGTCTGTGGAAGTGATAGAATTCCCCTGAAAGTTTMATCAAAATCTGAGGTGGATATGTTTTAATTTTCGTATTTTACAGGCAAAGGAGTCCTACAATGGAGGTTAGCCTCAAAGGTTGCGTTGACGGAATATTTTCCATTTTTGACCGGTCCTTTTACACRGTGATGGAAGAATCAGAAGGCTGTCCATCATTTCGACAGATTGCAATTAACACCGCTGACCTAATAAGCCAGGTGAGGTGGAGAAAAAAATCAACGAGGCTTCACAAGACAGCAAGCTCTGTGGCATCACACTCACACAGAGAYATTTTCAGCTTTAAACATGGAGTAGGTCTACATCACCGAGGTGTCTTACTAAATCTAAAATAAATAAAATATTCCCATCTGATCATCATCTCAGATCTAGACACCRAACATGTCTCCAGGAGCTGACAGTGCAGTGAAGGAGGACAGGAGTAACACGTCTGTGAGGCGCAGCTGAAACAGTGGCACACCAGGAGCGCATGCTGCAGGATTTCCTCCTGCTAAAGCAGGTTGTGAGATTTGGAAATAAAGTAACTTTGGTTTAAGTGGTACTTATTATTCCAACAGTGTCGAAGCAGAGCACGGGTTAAAGCCGGGCTCCCACTAAACGTGTTTTGAGCAGCA